CAAAAATTAAAAACTTTTTGTTCATCAAAAGACTTTACCATAAAAGAGAAAAGGCAAGCTACCAACTGTGACAGTATCTTTGGAAACCATCTATTTGGTAATAATCTGTAACGCAGTGAATTACTTGGTATGGCTCTTCCAGCCATAGTCTTTCTAACTCCCACCAAATAACTGGAAGGGACTACATAAATGGGAAGTGCTGTGGCACACTAAGGGGACTTGATAAGTTACTGCAAAAAAGGACACGGAGGAGGCATCCTCCTCTGACCTCCTCCAGCCTCACAAGGGGGAAACAGAATCACCATCAGCAGCCCAAGGCAATTCCTATGCAGCCAAACATACCAGCACCCTCCAGCCTTTTTACCAATTTTGATACCAATAATCCTTCCCACGGCACTCACTACTTCTCTACTGGGTTTGATATTTGTTGCAATGGCCACACAGACAATACTCATAATTATGGGGTTTATCAGGAAGTAACAGGTTCCAATTCAGGTTCAGGAACACTAAGGATAAAATTCTTCAATCAGGACAGCCTCATCCTGGCCATGCCTCTCTTTGGCTCTTGGCCTCTTAGCCCAGCCTCTGCCTTGCTCTGGCAAGTGTTGCAAGGCTGCTCTAACTCGTGCCAGTCTCTCAGTTCCACTGTCGCCATCATCCCCATTTTCTGAAGTTAGAGGAGGTCAGGTGCCAGCCCCATGATATTTTTACAATGGTGATAAAAAAAACTGCACTGATTACAGGAAAAGTTTCAGAGCCAATTATTGTAGTTGATGTCAATAAATTAATTGTACATCTATCAAAAGTTTACTTGGCAAAAGTTGTATGATATATTAATTTATAACAATAACAAAGAAGAAAGAGTAGCTGTTGAGACTGATTATGTACAACTAGAAAACCTCATGGGATTTAACTCCTTGGTATGCAGGTTTAGGGTCATGGTTTCATGGGACATCCCAGTTAACCGGCCTGATAACATCTTTAGTACCTCTGTTCTACCTTCTACTTCTATATGTAGTACCTGGTGTCTTAAAAGCTTATGAGAATCAGAACAGGATGAGGACATGGAATATGTGGCTAATATCCTCCATAACAAATGCCTCCTATGTCATAAGACCAGAAGAACTGGATGGTGCCAGGCTGCAATTACTGAAATTTTGATCAAAGATTCCATAGAAGAATCTTGATCAAAAAGGGCAAAAACAGAACAAAATTTCAAATTCTCATGGACTCTAGACTTCCTAGAACCATGAAGGTTTGATAAACCCCTTAAACTACTGCCCTGAGATAATCTTCAAACCTTAAACCAAAAATATCCCCTGAAGTCTTCTTAAAACCAATAAATAGTTTATCTTAACTAGTAAAAAAATGTCTGCCATAAGCATTATGCTTTTTTTTAAGAACTATCTAAGCCACTCCTCAGAAGGAAGATTGGGCAATCTACTTCTGTAGTGATACCACCTCGGAAACTTAAGGAGGGGTCACTATGAGTCGGATCCAACTCAACAGCAGTGAGTTTGGTTTTTGGTGGAAGTGGAATCAACAGCAACTCAAAAGACAGGCACCTTAGGAGGCAGTAAGTTGATTTAATGGGGGAGGAATAACTAAGAGAGTGAAAATGGTTGCATAACTCAAAGTATATAATCAATGTCACTGAATTATACAGGTAAAAATGGTTGAATTGGTATATATTTTGCTGCAGATATTCTCAACAATAAAATAAACTCAAAATAAAATAATAGCAATAAAAGAATTATCAACAGCCAATCTGAAAAAGGGTTTGAGATTTCTCTACCCCCAACATAAGGCTCTTATTTCTCCCACCTCACTAAATAAAGAAGCTCTCAACCAACCACCTGAGGAGTCATCCCTTTCCTCTCCCATTATCATCAACCTCTCTACCAGCTTCTCAACATTGAGACTTGCTGGAAGTTCTCAAGAATGTAAAGTTACCAAAAAATTAAAACAAAGCCATCCACTGCAGCCAGCTACCATTCTTTCCTGCTTCCCCTCCATCATCTCTAGAAGATACCAGCAAAAAGGTTCCTGGTCCACCTTCAATTCATCTCTGGTGCTCTACAGCACAGACCCCGTCTTAGCTACTACACTGAACTAGACACTACTAATCCTGTCAGGGGAGGCCAAGGGACATTTTTCAATCTCAATCCTGACTCATCTCAGCACTGAAAGCTGACTTCTCTGTCCTTTTTCAAACATGCTCTCTCTTGGTTTCAACATCACCACTGTCAACAGTTCTTTCAGCTCCTCCTTAGCCTCTTTCCTGGGATCCTCTTCTATTTTCCCCCCTGAATCTGTGTCATTCTCCAGGGTTCTTTCCTAGACTCTCTTTTTATATTTAATAGTAACAACAATGGTAACTGACATTATTGATATTTATTATTATGTGCTTTGAACTTATTACTGAGCCCTCATAACCCTATAATGTTTTATTACCACTTTGCATGAGAAAAAGAGGCACAAAGAGCTTAAGCTCCCTGTTCAAGTTCACAGAACTAGTAACTGACAGTCTCTACATTTGACCCAAGGCAATGTGACTCCAGAATTCAAGGTTTTAATCACTGTACTATGCTGTCTCTCAACTGACATACTTCCTGGAGAACTTAACTCACTTCCATAGTTTAAAAGATTTCTCAGGTACTGCTTGCTTCACTTTCAGCCCCATCAATTCACCAGGACCCCTAAGCAGAATGTCCCACTGCTGTCTGAGCATCTGAACTAGGAAGGTCTGTGGGTATCTAAAATGCAACATGTCTAATACCTGAAACACCTCATCATCTAAACCAGCCCATTTATGTTTCCCATCTCACCTAACATACTGACCTCAACAGCTCCTTCCCCCTCAAGCCCCACCTGGATCCAAATCAATCACACCAAGTACTGGGACTTCTAACTCCCAGCTACCTCTTTCATCTACCCACTTCTCTCCTCCCTCGTTGCCAAAAAAAAAAAAAACCCAGGCCAGGGCATCATCCTGTCTCACCAATAGTCCTGTCTGTTCATCTGTCTTAAAACCAGCCTGAAGTGACACTCATATATGATCATACCACTTTCTTAAGTATTCAGCTTTCTATCTTGTACCTCTTGGGGCCTCTCACACACTTGTCTTTCTGCCTGCAGTACCCAGACTCGTGTGCTAGGCTAACTCTTCCTCATTCTTTGGCCAAATTCTTTGGTCATTCCCATCCCCCTAAGAACAGTATAGTTGACAATCTGTCTTGGAAGAATAGCCACAATAATCCTCAGAAGGGAAAATGGCTAGACTTCAACTCACATACTACAGTCGTATTGTCAGAAGGGACCAGTCCCTGAAAAAAGATACCATGTTTGGTAAAGTAGAGGGTCAGCAGAAGAAGTGAAGATCCTCAATGAGGTGGATTAATACAGTGGCAGCAACGATGGACTCAAGTATACCAAAGATTGTGAGGATGGGAGAGGGCAGGGCAGTGTTTTGTTCTATTGTACACAGGGCCACTGTGAGTCAGAGTTGACTCAACAGCACTTTACAACAGCAAGAACACCCTGAATGTTACCTGTTTACCTATCTGTACCCCTGACTGGGATATGATGAGAGGAGAAAACTGTGTCTTCTTAATGCCATTTGTATCATCTTCATTATATGCCTATTTTCCAGATAAGGAAACAGGCCCAGAGAAGAAGCTTGCCTGAGGTCACAACCTGGCTAATGGTGGAGCTAAGATTTGAGTTCCTGATCCCCTGACCAACTTAGCCTTATCTCACCAGTGAGCCTATATCCCTAGGGCAGGGTTGGCATCAACAATTCACATACCAAACAGATTTTGGGTCAATGAATTATGTCTTCCATACTTTAAAGGAAATATTTAAGAAGTCCACTTACCTTGACTGCTGTTCAACTGCAATGAGCAGCTAACTTTTATTGAGTCCCTACCATGTGTCAGATAAGGAGCTCTGGTAACATAGTGCCTAAGTCACTTGACTGCTAACCAGAAGGCTGGTAGTTCAAACCCACCAGCAACTCCTCAGAGCAATCTATTTCCATAGTGATACTGCCTCAGAAACCCAGGGAAGGGTTGCTATGAGTCGGGTCTGACTCGACGGTACATAACAACAACAACGCGTCAGTTGTCAAAATAGGCATTTTCCGTATGTTATTTCATGTAATCCTCACAACCACCAAATAAGACAGGTAACCTAAAGCCACAAATCTAGTGAATGGTAGGGCTAGGACTCAAAGCGTGAGTTGCTCATGGCAACCCTATAGGAGAGGGTAGAACTGCCCCACAGGGTTTCTTAGGGAAGTAGACCCAAGCCAAGGTATTTTTAGTAGCCTCATATGCATGTGAAAGCAGGACAATGAACAAGAAAGACAAAAATTAATGTATCTGAAATAAAGAATATGTATTTAAATTGTAGTGTGGGACAAGAATACAGAATATACTGTGAACTGCCAGAAGAACGAACAAATCTGTCTTGAAAGAATGCACATTAGAAGTGGGAATGGCCTGACTTTGTTTCTCATACTTTAGTCATGTTATCAGATGGCACCAGGCCCTAGAGAAGAAGATCATGCTTGGTAGAGTGTCACCAAAAAAGAGGAAGACCCTCAATGATAAACTGACACAGTGGCTACAATGATGGGCTCCACTATAGCAATGGTTGTCAGGATGTTGCAGGACCAGGCAGTGTTTCATTCTGCTATGTACGGGGTTGCTATGAGTCAGAACCGACTCAAACAGAGAATTAGATCACCAGGTCTTTTCCCCTGCAGAATCACCAAGGGATTCCAACTGTCAACCTTCTGGTTAGCAGGCAAGTGCTTAACCACTGTGACAAGAGGGCTCCTTCTAATATACTGCTTCCAAAAATAGAACAATTAATGAGTCAATTAAACATAATGTTTACAACTTAAACTCATTTTGTGTTTAAGCCACTGAAACGTAAATGTAAGTAATTTAAACTTACACATGTCTAAAGCACAAAGTAATGTTTTAAAAATCTACCTTCTACAGGACACGCGAATGGCTTTGTGCCTAGGTGGGTTATGCTGTGGCCTTTCAAATGCTCTGCTCTTGTGAACGATTTCCCACAGCCTTCCACAGGGCAGGTAAACCTCCGGTCATCATCATGTTTCCTGCCCAACAAAAAAAACAAAAAACAAAAAAAAACCAACAGTGATTACTCATACAACTCAAAAACATAAGGTCTCTGAGAAATTTTTTTGTCTAAAATTGTCAAAGAAGAACATAATGCACATTTCACTTTGATTTTAAGGGTGTTTTTTTTCCCCTGTGAAACCAACTATTAACCGTAAAAATTTCTAAATTTAAAAAAATTTCTAATTTAAAAAATTAGGATTTTCAAATCCTACCAATGACTTGTTTCACTCAAAGTTGCTAATCTTTTCTTTCCTGTTCAAAGCCAGGCTTACATAATTTAAACTTCAAAAGGTATCATGGCTGCAAGTAGGGGGAGGGCCAGACACCACCTCCTGACCTGGTATCAGATGATCTCAGTAAAATGGGGAGGGCAGTGTTCAATCAATCATGCTAAGATTAGCCAACAGCTGATCTATTCTCCCTCTTCTTCCCTTTTTAAGCCTCACTGAAACCAGCCTACTTTGAGTCGTTCGTTTTTTTAGAATCAGAATGGGTCTCCCTGTATGCATATTGAATAACTGCTCCAAATATATCTTATGTTTCAATTTGAGTTTTACTTTTACTAAAATGTTACAAAATACACAAAACTACATACAAGCCTACACATTTAAAAAACATCAGTACATTTCAAAAAAAGTCTTAATTCTGTCTCTAATCTATGTGAGATCTCTGGTAGCATAGTGGCTAAGACACTTGCCTGCTAACCAGACGGCTGGCGGTTCAAACCCACCAGCCACTCCTCGGAAGGAAGGTTGGGCAATCCTACTTCCGTAGTGATACTGCCTCGGAAACCCAAGGAGGGGTCGCTATGAGTCGGGGCCGACTCGACGGCACATAACAACAACAACAACAACCCCATAATTAGAAATTCTACTTTAATGACTAAATTGACCCCAGAGTCAGACACTGAACATTAGTGGTACTGCAATCTAGGAACAGCTGGGTCCCAAATGTACTGATGAGGTTGCTTCCACTGTTCAAAAATCCAGCTTTCCCTGCTATAGAGTTCAATGGGTATTACACACACAGTGGACTACAAGGGCTACAAGTCTTAACAGACCCTCTAAAGCCAACATGCAGAAACTGTCTTTTTTTAAGTAACATTTTTATATTAATCCCTCAACCCCAAGTGTGTAAACCTGGACAAAGCACTCAGCATCTCTGAGTCTCATCATAAAACAGGGAGAATGAGAACACTAGCCTCAAAGTGGTAAAGATTCAATGAGATATACAAATAAAGTGCTTAGCCTTCTCTAGACACAAGCCTAGTTCACATTTGAAGTGTCTGTTCAACATTAGGAGAGTCTATTTTACCATATTTAGTTTTAAAAAACACAAAATTATATACAAAGTATACAAAAAAAAAAGCAAAAGTATACACAGAAAAAAATTACCTTTAGGTGATGAGATTCTCAGTGATTTTCTTTTTAAAGTTTTTTAAATTTTCCAAATTGTCTACATTGAGCTCCTAGTTTATTACTTAAAATTACAGAACTCTTCACTAAAGAGGACATTCAAGTAGTCAACAAACACATGAAAAGATGCTCACAATCCTTAGCCATGAAAAAACCAAACCTGTTGCCATCGATTCTCACTTACTGCCACTCTAACAAGGCAGTTGTTACATAGGGTTTCCAAAGCTGCAATCTTTACAGAAGCACACTGCTACGTCTTTCTCCCACAGAGGAGCTGGTGGGTTCAAACTGCCAACCTTTTGGTTAGCAGCTAAGCGCTTAACCACTGTGCCACCAGGGCTCCTCCCTATTTGCCATTAGACAGCAATCCCACTTCTAAGTATATACCCTAGAGTTCTAACAGCAGTGACACAAACAGACATATGCATACCTATGCATTCACTGCAACATTATTCACAATAGCAAAAAGATGGAAACAACATAAATGCCCATCAATTGATAAACAAAAACATGGTACATAAATACAATGGAATACTACCACAGACTAAAAGATTAATGAGTACTTGAAACATCATAAAACGTGGATTAATCTGGAGGACATTATGGTGAGTGAAATAAGACAATCACAAAAGGACAAATGATCACACTTTTTTAAGAACAGATACATATACAGAGACCAATGCTCATTAATGGTTACCAGAGATATTTCAGGGGGCGGGGCACGTGAGTGCTTTCAATACAGCAGACACTATCAGTTTTGCTGATGGAAAAGACAGCATTAAATATGGGTGAAGTAGACACAGTTTGACCAAGGTAAATGAGGTCACTACAAGGAGCACAAAGAAAAAAAACAATGTCTTTGGTAAAGGATATGGTAAATATAATTTGGAAACATCACCACAACCACCAAACAAATGGGTGTGGTTACACAAGTATGTATACTGAGTATGAATAAGTGGATATACGTTCACTGCATAAGTGTATGCACAGAAAGAAGTCTCTGTAGGCACATGCAGGTATGTGTGTACATGCACATATATCCATATACATAATAAACCACATAGGGGACAAAGGTACACATACTTTTTAGACATACCCAAACACCTTGTGAGATTGGTTTTCAGGGTTTGAAGACTCAGTACCATAGTCTTGTGGGACAACTCAGTTAATTAGCATAATATAGTCCATAAAGTGTACAGTATACATCCCAAAGTGGTGAGTAGTTTCTGGGATCTTAAAAAGCTTAGAAGCAATCATCTAAGATATAACTATCACTCTCTATTTGCCTGGAACAAAACAAAACAAACAAACAAAAAAAAAAACCCAGAGAAGAAAGTAATCTACACAGCTGTCTTGGCTGGGTTCTAGAGGAGCAAAATATGTATTCTCTCACATATATGTGGGGAGCACTGGTAGCCTAAGACCTAAGGCACTTGACTGCTAACCAGAAGACTGGTGGTTCAAAGCCACCAGCCACTCCTCAGAAGGCAGGTTGGGCAATCTACTTCCGCAATGATACTGCCTTGGAAAACCAAGGAGGGGTCGCTATGAGTCGGGTCCGACTCCATTGCACATAACGACAACAACAACACATACATATGAAAGAGGGGGGAAGAAGAAAGAGAGGAGGAGGGTAGAAATGAAGAGGGGGGAGGAGAAGAGAAAGAAATTTATCTCAAGGAAATGGTTCATTTAGTTTTAAGGGCTGGCAAGTCCCAAGTCTGTGGATCAATCATCAAGCTGGAGCCTTCTTCTGACTCATGCAACTGCTGGGGATAATGAACTCAAGATTGGCAGGCAATATAGCAGGCTGCTGGCTTCAGAGGCTGAGGAATCCAAGACTGGCAGGTAAAATTGCAGACTGTTGGCTCACAGCTACAAAGGCAATCCCAAGATCAGGAGGCAACACAGAAGGTCTTTGGAACTAGAGATGATCAGCCAAATGCAGGATCCAAAATGAGCAAAAAGTCAGAACCCTTTCCCAAAGCTTTCCATATGTACTAGAAGTAGGCCATACTCTAAATGAAACACCCTTTCAACTGACTGACTGCTCACAGTAGATATCATGGAAGTGACTACATTATATCAGAATTTATATGGGGAATAACAACATCATAACTGCTAAGCCGCTTAGAATCAGAGACCAGCCAAGTTGACACAAAACCTTAATTACCACAATAACTAACAGTCTACATGAACCTCATCTACCCTGAGACCCTAACAACTAGATGGTGTCTGGCTACCAACAACTGTTCACATCAGGGCCACATTAGATGGATCCTTACAGAACAGAAGAAAAATGTGGAACAGAAAAATTCTTAGTAAGCCTAGATTTACTGACAAACACTACTGCCCTGATATACTTTAAACCAAAATTATCCCTCAAGGTCACCTGTTAGCTAACTAACAGGTTGGATCATAAAATAAAGAACATCACCTGTGAGAACTGACCTTCTTTAAAAACAAACAAAAAGCACAACTATGTTGCTGTTAGGTATCATCAAGTCAGTCTGACTCATAGCAAGCCTATGTACAACAAAATGAAACACAGCCCAGTCCTGTACCATCCTCACAATCATTGCTATTATTTGAGCCCACTGTTCCAGCCCATGTACCAATCTATCTCATTAAGGATCTTCTTCTTTTTTCTTCACTGACCCTCTACTTTACCAAGCATGTGTTCTTCTCCAGGACTGGTCCTTCTTTATAACAAGCCCAAACTACAAGAGATGAAGTCTTGCTATCCTCGCTTTTTACCACCACACATCTGTCAGTTTATGGTACAGTGGTGGCTAACACACTGCTGTGATGCTGGAAGCTATGCTACCAGTATTTCAAATACCAACAGGGTCACCCAGGGTGGACAGATGTCAGCAGAACTTCCAGACTAAACAAAGTAGGAAGGACCTGGTGATCTACTTATAAGAAAACCACCTAGTGAAAACCTTATGAATAGCAAGGAAACTGTTGTTGTTAAGTGCCATCGAGTCATCGCCGACTCATAGCGATCCTATGCACAGCAGAATGAAACACCGCTTGGTCCTGAGCCAGCTTCACGATTCTTGCTACACTTGAGCCCATCGCCGCTGCCGTGTCAATCCACCTCGTTGAGGGCCTATCCCTCATTTGTCGATCCTCCACCTTACCAACATAACATCCTTTTCCAGGGAATGGTCCCTTCTGACAACATGACCAAAATATGTGAGACAAAGTCTGGCCATTCTCGCCTCCAAGTATCATTCTGGCTGCACTTTCTCCAGGACAGACCTGTTAGTTCTTTTAGCAGTCCATGGTACTTTCAGCATTTTTCGCCAACACCACAGCTGAAAAGCATCAACTCTTCTTCAGTCTTCTTTATTCATTGTCCAGCTTTCACATGCATATGAGGTGATTGAAAATACCATGGCTTGTGTCAGGCGCACTTTAGTCCTCAGGGGACATCTTTGCTCTTCAGCACTTGAAAGAGGTCCTTTGCAGCTGATTTGCCCAGCGCTATATGTCGTCTGATGTCCTGACTGCTGCTTCCATTGGCGTCGACTGTAGAACCAAGCAATGTGAAGTCTTTGACAACCTCAATCTTTTCTCCATTTATGGTGATGCTGCTTATAGGTCCAGCTGTGAGGAATTTTGTTTTCTTTATATTAAGGTGTAATCCATACTGCTGACTGTATACTTCAATCTTCATCAGCAAGTACTTCAAGTCATCCTCACTCTCAGCAAGCAAAGTTGTATCATCTGCGTATTGCAGGTTGTTAATGATTCTTCCTCCAATCCTGATGCCACATTCTACTTCATGTAGTCCAGCTTCTCAGATTAGTTCCTCAGCATACAGACTAAGTATAGTGAAATGATACAACCCTGATGTACTCCCTTCTTGATTTTAAACCATGCAGTGTTCATTATTTCTGTTTGAACAACAGCCTCCTGGTCTACATACAGGTTCCTCATGAGTACAATGAAGTGTTCTGGAATTCCCATTCTTCTCAATGTTATCCACAATTGTTATGATCCACACACTCAAATGCTTTTGCATAGTCAATAAAATACAAGTAAACATCTTTCTGATATTCTTTACTTTGAGCCAAGATCCATCTGACATCAGCAATGATATCCCTCATTTCATGTCCTCTTCTGAATCCAGCCTGCACCTCTCTGTAAGTTCTCTGTCAATATACTGCTACAATCATTTTTTAATTATCTTCAGTAAGATTTTACTTGTACGTGATATTAATGGAATCATTTGATACTTTCCACATTCTGTGGGATCACCTTTCTTTGGAATGGGTACAAATATGGATCTCTTCTAGTCAGTTGGCCAGGTAGCTGTCTTCCAAATCTCTTGGCATAACCTAGTGAGAGCCTCCAGTGGGGCATCCATATGTTGAACCATCTCAATGGGTATTCCATCAATTCCCAGAGCCTTGTTCCTCGCCAATTCCCTCAGCGCAGCTTCAACCCCTTCCCTCAATATCATTGGTTCTTGAACATATGACACCTCCTGAAATGGATGAAGATCGACCAGTTCTTTTTGGTACAGTGACTCTATGTAGCAAGGAAACTAGAATACTGGAAATGGTAAACCAAAACAGAGTGAATGAAAATAATGACACACTATGAAAAACGTACCTAGTATCACTGAAAAATCTGTGTCGTCGTTGTTAGGTACAGCTGAGTTGGGTCCGAATCAGTGACCCTGTGTACAGCAGAATACTGGCCAATTCTGCACTATCCTCACAATATTTGCTATGCTTGAGCCCTTTGTCACAACCACTATGCCAATCCATCTCATGGAGTGTCTTCCTCTCTTTTGCAGATACTCTACCAAGAATGATATTCTTCTCCAGGGACTGGATGCTTCTGACAACATGACCAAACTATGTAAGACAAAGTCTGGCAATTCTCACTTCTAAGAAGCATTACAACTATACTACTTCCAAGACAAGTATGTTCATTCTTCTGGCAATCCACAGTATTTTCAGCATTCTTCACAACACCACAATTCAAATGCATTGGTTCTTCTTTGGTCTTCATTATTTATTGTTCCACTTTCACATGCACATGAGGCAACTGAAAATACCATGGTTTGAGTCAGGCTCATCTTAGCCTTCAAAGTGGCATCTTTGCTCCGTAATACTTTAAAATGGTCATTAGCAGATTTGCTTAGTGCCAACACATCATCTGATTTCCTGACTGCTGCTTCCAAGGGCACTGATTGTAACTAATTGATCCAAGTAAAAAGAAATCCTTGACAACATTAATCTTTTCTCCATTTATTGTGATGTAGCTTACTGGTCCAGTTCTAAGGATTTTTGTTTTATGGTGCGGTGCAATCCACACTGAAGGCTGTAGTGTGTGACCTTCATAAGCAAGTGCTTCAAGTCATCTTCACTTTCAGCAAGCAAGGTTGTGTCTTCTGCATAATGCAGGTTGTTAATGAGTCTTCTCCCAATCCTGATGCCATGTTGTTTTTCATATAGTGCAGATCTCAGATTATTTATTCAGCACACAGATTGAATAAGTATGGTGAAAGGATACAACCCTGGTACACAACTTTCCTGATTTTAAACCATTCAGTATTCCCTCGTTCTGTTCAAATGACAGCCTCTTGGTCTATGTCCAGGTTCCTCATGAGCACAATTAAGTGTTCTGGAACTCTCTTTCTTCCCAATGTTATCCATAATCTGTTAAGATCCACATAGTCAAATGTCTCTGCACAGTGAATAAAACACAGGTATGCATTTTTCTGGTCATCCTTTGCTTTCAGCCAACATCTATCCAGCATCAGCAATGGTATCACTCATTCCACACCATCTTCTGACTCTGTCTTGAATTTCTGGCAGCTCCCTGTAAATATCCTGCTATAACTGGAGCCTTGTTTTTTGCCTCTTCTTTCAGTGCAGCTTAGACTTGTTCCTTCAATACCACAGGTTCTTGATCATATGCTACCTCCTGAAATGACTGAACGTTGACCAATTCTTTTTGGTATAGAGACTCTGCATTCCTTCTTCTGATGCTTCCCGTATCATTATTTTGCCCTTAAAATCCTTCAATATTATAATTTAAGTGCTTGAATTTTTCTTAAGTTCTTTCAGCTTTAGAAATGCTGGGCATGTTCTTCCCTTTTGGTTTTCTAAGGCCGGGTCTCTGCACATTGTATTACAATCCTTTACTTCGCCTTCTCGAGCTGCCTTTTAAAATCTTGTGTTCAGTTTTTCTATTTCAATTCTTCCATTACCTTTAGCCACTCTCTGTTCAAGACCAAGTTTCAGTCTTTTCTGATATCCATTTTCTTCATTTCCTGTCTTTTTAAATACCTTTTGCTTCCTTCACGTATGATGTTCTTAATGTCATCCCACAACTTGTCTAGTCTTCTGTCATAACTGTTCAATGCATCAAATATTTTCTTAAGATGATCTCTAAACCCAGGTGGGACATAATCAAGGTCATATTTGGCTATCATAGACTTGTTTAAATTTTCTTTGGGTTCAACTTACATTGCCATCAGTTGCACAGAAGCAATTGATGCTCATTTCCACAGTCAACTCCTGGCCTCGTTCTGATTGCTGATATTGAGCTTCTCCATTGCCCCTTTCCAAAGAGGCAGTTGATTTGATACCTGTGTATTCTAGCTGGTGAATTTGACATGTCTAGTCACTGCTTACATTGCTGAAAAAGGTATTTAAAATGAGTAAGTCACTGGTCTTGCAAAATTCTATCACGCAGTCTCCAGTGTCATCTTTACCACCACGGTCACATTTTCCAACTTCCAGTACTGCTTCTTTGTTTCCAACTTTTGCATTCCAATCACCAGTAATTATCAATACGTTTTGATTGTTAAGTTTGGTCAATTTCAGACTACAGAAGTTGGTAAAAGTCTTCAATTTTTCAATTTCTTCATCTTTGGTTTTAGTGGTTGGTGTGTAAATTTCAATAGTAGTATTAACTGGTCTTTCTTGTGGGCGTATGAATATTATCCTATCACCAACAGCATTATACTTCAGCATTATACTTCCTGAAATGTTCTTTTTGACATTGTCTGATATAATGAGGGAGCTCTGGTGGCATAGTGCGTAAGGCATTTGACTGCTAACCAGAAGGCCGGCGGTTCAAACCCATCAGCCACTCCTTAGAAGGAAGACTGGGCTATCTACTTTCATAGATATTGCCTCGGAAACCCAAGAAGGGGTCACTATACGTGTAGGAAGATGAGCCTTTCAGGTTGGAAGGCACTCAAAATGACTGGGCAAGAGTTGCCTTCTCAAAGTAGAGCTGATCTTAATGACATGGATGAAGTAAAGCTTTCTGGACTTTCACTTGCTTATGTGGCACAACTCAAAATGGAAAGAAGCAGCTGCAAACATCCATTAATAATTGGAACATGGAATGCACGAGTATGAATCCAGGAAAACTAGAAGTTGTCAAAAATGAAATGGAATGCATAAAGAGCTGAAATGGACTGTTATTGGTCATTCTGAATATGACAATCATATGGTCTACTATACTAAGAATGACAAATTGAAGAGGAATGGCGTCACATTCATTGTCAAAAAGAACATTTCAAATCTATCCCGAAGTATAATGCTATCAGTGATAATATCCATATACCTACAAGGAATAATCTGTGTAGAAACTGTTAAATGTGAAATTAATTTGCTGTATAAACTCTCACCTTAAACACAATGAAGTAATAAAAACTACAGATCCATAGTAATTTGGATCTGACAAATGATTCACTGTCAAACTATTAATATATACCAAAATGTGAAGATTACCTTTTGTGCCTTAGGAGTTTAGACATGCTGGTGAAGGTCCAACCACAACTATCAGAGTCACAAACAAAAGGTCTTTCACCTTATAGAAGACAAAATGACAGTGTCATTATAAATATATCATCTACCACAAAGACAAATCTTGTGGCCAAATGCCATTGCATTCTTTAGTTCATTTACCTGTATGACTTCTCAGGTGAATTTTCAGCCTACAGGCTTTGTCATATTGTTTGCTGCATCCCGGAAAGGAGCAAGAAAAGAGTTCTTGTTCCCTGAAATGGGCTCGATTATGGGAAAAAAGAGCACTCACTGTAATAAATGTCTTCTCGCAGCCTGAACAAAGAAAAAACAAACTCTGCTCACTGATATGACAAAAATCATACAACACAGTTAATGCTAGTCACAACTCCAAGGCACTATTCAGTCTCAAGTATAATTCATTCAGATGTATTTCTAAAAGGATATGGTCATGAATGCTTGGCTTTGTAATACCCAAAGTAAGGGTGGTCAATGGCAGGCAAAAGGCATAACTGGGCCACCTCTGGACTTCCAGATGAGTCACTGATCAAAAGAAAAGTCCCCACCACAGCCATCTACTCGCAGGTTTTACAGTACAGGTCTTGTATACATCTTGTTTATCCCCCAGGAACTCAAATGTCAGTGCTACTCAAATGATACCCAAGAAAATCCAACAAGAGAAATTAAAAAACAAAGGAACAAGCAGTAGTCTGGTAAGGCTGAGCTTTGGGGGGCCACAAGCCATTGTAATACAGAGGATTTTATCACCCCTCAGGGATGTACTGTACACTTTAAACTTACAGATGTAAGCAGACATCCCTGGCAGCCACACACCCCCAACACACACAGTTATCTAGCTTCTTTCTCCTTTCGCTTAGAGTTCACTGGTTCTTCAAAGCAAGTTAAGAGTATCTTCATATGATTTTTTGCACCACCTCCATCTTCAGCCCCCCGGGCTGAGCCACCATCTAATGAGCCCACCTCACCAATTCCCATACTCCCCACAATGATGGTTCTCCTTTCACAGAAATGTTCAGTACTCAACTAGGGTGGAAATTATTAGATTGAAAGGTGTTTAACAGTTTTCCTTGTTGTAGCTCTTCTTGGAGCCTTTACATGCAACCACTGTGCCTGTGAATCACCAAGCAGATATATACTACACAGCACTGAACAAGACTATCAGACCAAGGAACCCTACTCCCCCCACCCCCCCAAAACAAAACCCCAACACACTGGATTGAAGTGGTCTGACTCATAGTGATTCTGCAGAACAGAAATGCCCCAATGGGTTTTCAAGGCTGTAAATCCTTATGGAAGCAAATCACCCCATCTTTTTCCATAGAGCTGTTGGCGGGTTCGAACCATCAACCTTTGAAGTAGCAGCTGAATGTCTTAACCACTGCTCTACTTAAACCCCAGCAACACTTAACTGAGAAATGCTGATCTCCCCTAAATGCCTTGAAATTGCGGTCTTTGGCCTCAATCTGCTCCCTGGCTGCGCAGGTTCCCTATTTTGGGCTTTGGTGTACTCCCTACTCCCTTACTCAGCCAAGTAAAACGAACCCTCTGGATGTGCCCTAGAAAAAGCCTCCCACCACCCATCATCCATAATTAGTAATCATGCCCTTTGATTCTACCTCTGTAATATCTTTCCTATCTGGAGATATTCCCACTGACACTACTTGGTTCGGTCCTCAATAAATTCATGTCTGGGCCATTTAATGATGCTTCACTGGTCTCCCTCCTGCTTCTGCCCATCTAGCACACTGAAGCTCCTTCCCACTGATCATCCATCCAACTCAAAAGCCTCAGGGGGACTCATGCTAGATCCCTATCCCAGTATCATACATAAAGTGCATTTTACTCGGGAAAGGGTAAGCCACCATCAGATTCCCGCAAGAATATGTGACTATGACTGAAAATGGTTTTGAATCCATGGCTAAAGCCATGTTCTCCACAAGGAAGGATGCATGTGACAGTCCACTGTCACTAGAAGAAAATATTAGAATCTAATATTTTTCATCTCATCCTTTTAAAATGTATTTGTGCATATTTTCTGATATATACATTAAGACAACAGTGCATAAATACAAACACGTAAGTAACACAAGAGCATGATAAGTTCATGCTTGAGTTTGTTTTAATAAATGGGGCACAGGAGCTCCCCCACCCTCTACTCAGCCCTCCAGCACCCTTCCAACTTCACTCCACTGCCCCCTTACCACAGCCCACATTCTATAAGCGGCTCCTCCAGGCTCTGCAGTTTCACTGGCCTGCCCTGCTCTCCATCATATTCCCAGAGGTCAAATCCTACCGTTTCCTGCTCCAAAAGCAGGCCTACTCTGTCTACAACCTTCCAGCCAGGAATCTTCTCTTCCTCCCCTGGAGGAACACTGTCCCTCTAGAAGCACCAAGGCCTACCTGCCCTGGTGTCTTACATGCCTGTGGCTGCAGAAAAAATACAAGAAGATGAAGAATCAGCACTGGTTTTATCCACACTGCTGGGACTCAGTTCCTTCATTTGTAAGATGAAAATATTTTTTAACCTCACAAAACTATGAACTTTAATGTGAATTAAAGTATAAACGGTATATGTAAATTTTCTACATTTTCTGCACAATTTCTATGTAAATGTAAAACTGCTCTACAAAATAAAGCTATTAAAAAAGTAGGAAAGGCACAAACCAGTACAGTGACACACTGTGACTACTCCTTCAGTGCACTCACTGTGCTTCAAGGCCTTGGACCTGGCCACAGTCATCTCTGCCCTGGCACAGTGTGCATTCTATAATTACTTGATTTTTACATAAGGAAAATAAGACTCACTCATAACTCAGTGGAACTTACTGTGCAGAGTTAACACTTTCATCAAATGAAAGCAGCTGAGAGCTCTGCTGCCTACACGTTTGGGTAGGAGAGCTGTCCCAACCTCACAGATACATGCCTTCACAATGAGGGATTAAGATTTCAAATGTAGTCACCTGGTAAAACACAGGACTACAAAGGGGCGCCTGCATTCCCGCCCTGCACACTTGGATGTGATGGCCCATCGACTTTAAACCCTGACAGAATCGAGAACTAGGAGGCGGACCAACACTGCACTCTCAGGGCCTAGCAGTCACTGCCAGGGGCAAGCCCCAGCTCCCCGCTAGCCCTGGGAGCCCACCCCATGGCCGCCCCCACCAGCATCGGTGAGCAGTTACCAGGAAAATCACACTTGTACGGTCTCTCGGGCTCGAAGTGGCTGCGCTGGTGGGAACTGAGCTTGGCATGCGTGGGGAAGCGTTCCGCGCACACCTCACATTTGAACAAGTTCTCTTGCTCGTGACCCTTCATGTGCGCCTTGAGGTTATAGATGGTAGTGAACTTCTTGCCGCAGGTGCCCACGGGGCAGTTGAAGGGCCGCAGCTTGTCGTGCGACTGCAGGTGCCGCTTGAGCTTGTAGGAGGTGGTGAAGGCCCAGCCGCAGCCGTCCAGTGGGCACTTGAAGGGTCGTCGGCCCTGGCTGCCTCCGTGCGTCAGTAGGTGTACTTTGAGCTGGTGCTTCCTAGCAAACGTCTGCGCGCACTGAGGCTCGGGGCAGCGGTAGCCAGAGGGACCCGCACTCCCGCGGTGGCCCTCGGCGACGCTGGCGGCGTCCTTGCCCGACTGCGGGGCAGGCGCGCCTGGAGGCTCTGGCGGGCTCCCGGGCGGTGGCGGTGACGCCAGAGTGAAGACCCCGTTGTCTAGGCGCACTAGCAGGTCCTGGCCGGCAACAGTGACGGCGCCCGCTAAGGCCGCGGCGGGGTTGTGGGCGGAGGCTGGGCCGCTGGGGCCCTGACCGGGGCGGTCTGCAGGACTTGCGCAGCGCCCGCCCCTAGTCCTCCCAGGGACCTCGGGGGCGCCGCGCGCCACTTCCAGCAGTACCACGAAGGAGCCGTCGCCGGCGGCGTCCTCCGGGGCCGGCGGGCTCAGCTCCGGGCCAGCCGAGGCCTGCTCGCGCCGCGGCCCAGACCCGCCATCTTCGGGGCCGCACAGCAGCAGCAGGCGGCGGCGCGCGGGGCCCGGGCTGAGCCGACGAAACCAGCCAGAGACAGAGCCGGAGCCAGGGCCGCCGTTTGGGCCTCCACGCGCGGCCCGGACGGCTGGCAATCCCCGAGTGTCCATCTTCTGGCCCTTCAAGCGGCGCCGGACACTGGAGCCTCGGCGGAAGCTCGAGGTTGCCCCGCCCAGGGCGTGCGCCAGATACCGTGCAGTCGGCGCCAAAGCCTGGTACGGAGGCCGAACCGGATCGGAGCGTGGCGCGTGCGCGTCAGCCCACGGGGCGGGGCGCGCTAGGTTTGTTGAGTCCGAGCTTCCCTTTGCTTCCTAGAAAGGAGGCTTGGCTAGTCCGGTTTATAGTAGTATCTGCCAGGATAGTGCAGATAAAAGGATCAGTATCTCGTAAGGGTATTAATATTTACACTCACATAAATGTTTTAGAGATGAGGAAACTGAGCCACAGAGAGCTTGAATGTTGTTGTTGTTGTTGTTGTTGTTATGTGCCGTGGAGTCATACCTGACTCATAGCGACCCCTCCTTGGGTTTCCGAGGCAGTATCACTACGGAAGTAGGATTGCCCAACCTTCCTTCCGAGGAGTGGCTGGTGGGTTTGATCCGCCAGCCATCTGGTTAGCAGGCAAGTATCTTAGCCACTATGCTACCAGAGAGCTTGAATAGCAGGACTTAAGTCACACAGCCACAAACTGTTAAGAGTTAAGATTAGAACACAGAGTTAGCTGATGTCCAGCAGCTGCAACCATCTCCAGGAAGCCCACTAAGTGCAAACCGACACACCTCACCTCCTGGCACCCAGGGCCTCCCCAGTCTCACCCGTTACTGCATTTCTAAGTAATTTCCCACTAAACTTCACATAACCTCACACTGCAACCAGCTGAATTACTCTGTTGAGTAATTCAGCCATTTCAGTTCATCTTGAACTCAGCCATTCCTCAGCCTACCCCCACTCTCACCCCACACCTCCAGATGGAAGCTGGAGCCCCTTCACTTCATCACCACCACCTTGATCTAACCAATATAATTCCATAATGAGCCTTCCATAAGGAGTCCATCACCTGACTGTCAGTGTGTTGTACTGTGGTGACTTGAATGTTTCTGTGATGCTGGAAGCTATGCCACCGGTATGTCAATACCAGCAGAGTCACCCATGGTGGGCAGGCTTCCAGACTAGATACCCTAGGAAGCTTCCAAACTAAAACAATCTAGGAAGAAAGACGTGGCAGTCCACTTCTGAAAAAATGGGCCACTGAAAATCTTATGAATAGCAGTGAAGCACTGTCTGATAATGGTGCCAGAAGATGAGCCCTTCAAGTTGGTAGGCACTCTAAATGCAACTGGGGAAGAACTGTCTCCTCAAAGATGAGTTGACATTAATAACATGGATGGAGTAAAGCTTTCAGGACCTTCATTTGCTGATGAGGCATGACTTGAAATGAGAAGAAACAGCTGCAAACATCCATTAATAATTGTAATGTGGAATGTATGAAATATGAAACTAGGAAAATTGGAAGTTGTCAAAAAGGAAATGAAGCACATAAAAATCAATATCCTAGGTATTAATAAGCTGAAATGGACCAATATGGACCATTTTGAATTGGACAACCATATGGTCTACTAAAGGAGCTCTGGTGATGTAATGCCTAAGGCATTTAATTGTTAGCCAGAAGGCTGGCAGTTCAAACCCATCAGCCACTCCAGGGAAGGAAGACCAAACAATCTACTTCTGTAAAGATTTACCACCTCAGAAACCCAATGGGGGTTGCTACGAGTCAGAATTGACTAGTTGGCAGTGGGTTGGGTTTGGTTGTTTTGGTATAGTCTACTATGCCAGGAATGAAAAAGAGGAATGGCATCACATTCATTGTCAAAAGAAATTTTAAGATCTATCCTGAAGTACAATGTTGTTAGTGATAGGATAATATCCACACACATACAAGGAAGACCAGTTAATACTACAATTATTCAAACTTATGTATCAACCACTAAAGTCAAAGATAAAGAAATTGAAGATTTTTACCTACTTCTGCAGTCTGAAATAGACTAAATATGCAATGAAGATGGATTGATAATTACTGGTGACTGGAATACAAAAGTTGGAAACAAAGCACCTAAATATGGCCTGGGTGATAGAAATGACACTAGAGAGCTCATAATAAAATTTCACAAGACAAATGACTTATTCATTGCAAATATCTTTTTTTAATCAACATAAGCAGCAACTCTGCATGTGGACCTCACCACATGGAATATATAGGAATCAAATTGAATCAACTATATCTGTGGAAAGAGATGATGGAGAAGCCAATATCATCAGTCAAAATAAGGCCAGGTGCCAACTCTGGAATAGACCATCAATTGCTCATATGCAAGTTTAAATTGAAGCTGAAGAAAATTAAAACAAGTCCATGAGAGCCAAAATACAACTCTGAGTATATCACACCTGAATGTAGAGACCATCTGAAAAATGAATTTAATGCATTGAACACCAATGACCATAGACACAAGAAGTTATGGGATGACATCAAGGATATCACATACGAAGAAAGCAAAAGGTCATTAAAAAGATAGGAAAGGAAGAAAAGACCAAATGAATGTCAGAAGAGACTCTGAAACTTGCTCTTGAATGAAGAGTAGCTAAAGCACAAGGAAGAAATAATGATGTAAAAGAGATGATCAGAAGATTTTGAATGGCAGTTTGAGAAGACAAAGTACTATAATGAAATCAAAGACCTGGGATAAGAAAATCGAAGGGTAAGAACACACTCAGTGTTTCTCAACTGAAATAACTGAAGAAAAAATTCAAGCCTCAAGTTGCAGATGCTGTAGATGTTAAGGCATTTAGCTATTAATCAAAAGGTTGGTGGTTTGAGCCCACCAGCTGCTGTGCAGAGGAAAGAGGAGGAAGTTGGCTTCTGAAAAGAATTACAACCTTGGAAACCCAATGGGGGTTGCTATGAGCTGGGATTAACTCAATGGCAGTTTGGTTTTTTTGGTTTATGGGCAAAATATTGAATAGTGCAGGAAGAAGATGGAAGGAATATACAGAGTCACTGTACCAAAAAGAATTGGTTGATGTTCAGCCATTTCAGGAGGGACCATATGATCAAGAACCTATAGTACTGAAGGAAGAAGTCCAAGCTTCACTAAAGGAATTGGGAAAAAACAAGACTCCAGTAATTGACACAATACCCATTGAGATGTTTCAACAAACAGATGCAGCACTGGAACTGCTCACTTGTTTATGCCAAGCAATTTGGAAGACAGCTACCTGGCCATCTGACTGGAACAGATCCATATTTGTGCCCATTCCCAAGAAATGTGATCCAACAGAAGGCAGAAATTATTGACCGATAGCATTAATTTCACACACGTTAATATCACACACAAGTAAAATTTTGCTGAAAATAATTTTTAAATGATTGCAGCAGTATACTGACAGGGAAGTGCCAGAAATTTGAGACAGATTCTAAAGAGGACATGAAATGAGGGACATCATTGCTAATGTCAGATGGATTTTGTCTGAAAGCAAGGAATACCAGAAAGATATTTACTTGTGTTTTACTGACTGTGAAAAGGCATTTAACTGTGTGGATCATGACAAATTATGGATAAAATTGAGAAGGATGGGAATTCCAGAACATTTAATTGTGCTTATGAGAAATCTGTACATAGATCAAGAGACTGTCATTTGAACAGAGCAAGGGGATATTGCATGGTTTAAAATCAGGAACGATGTGTGTCAGTGTTGTGTCCTTTCACCGTACATATTCACTCTGTATGCTGAGCAAATAACCCAAGAAGCTGGACTAGATGAAGAAGAATACACTATCAGGATTGAAGGAAGACTCATTAACAACCTGTGATATGCAGATGACACAACCTTGCTTACTGAATGTGAAGAAAACTTGAAGCATTTACTGATGAAGGTCAAAGACTCAGACTTCAGTATGGATTACACTTCGGCATTAAAAAAAAAAAAAAAAAAACCTAGACCAATAAGCAATATTATTGCACAGGGCAGATCTGTTTCAAAATGCTGTTTTAAAGGTTAAAGAGTAAAGATGTCGAGAGGCGGGGCAAGATGGCGGACTAGGCAGAAGGATTGCACAGACCCTCTTCAACAAAGAAAAGGGAAACCAATAAATACAGACACAGAAGATAATCTTG